AGAAGACTTGAAATAGGGTTGAAACTCAAAAAAGACTACATCCCTGGTGACATATTTTTTCTTGGAGACAGGATCATAACACTTATACCMYTTCTGCRTAGGAGAGTACCCCAAAAATATTCTCTTTGTAGCCTTAGGATCCAGCTTGGTCTTCTTTGGATCTTTCACATGTATGAAGCATGTACAACCAAAACGGTGTACATGTGCCAAAACGGTGTACAACCATCACAGAGTTTTTTGCTTCGAATGGGTCACTTCAACGAAGCTCTTGTGCCAGGACACCCCAACAAAACGGTGTTGTTGAACGAAAGAACTGTCACCTTCTCGAAGTAGCTCGTGGCTTATTAATTCATATGAATGTGCCAAAACGCTTTTGGATGGATGTAGTTTAGTGTGCTACATACATCATCAACCGTATGCCATCTCGGTTACTAGAGTATAAGGCCCCACATCAGCTTTTGTTTCCTACAGCTCCGTTGTCCACCATTCCGATGCGTGTTTTTGGGTGTCGTTGCTTTGTCCATAACTTGTCCCCTACTCGAGGTAAGCTTGATCCTCGGGCTATTCCTTGTGTTTTCCTTGGTTACCCTTTATCTCAAAAGGGGTATCGTTGCTATGATCCTACTTCTCACAAGTACTATGTCTCCATTGATGTATCCTTCTTTGAGAATCAACCTTTCTTCTCGGTTTCTCATCAGGGGGAGAGTAGGATCGAGGAGAAACATGCGGCTCAAACTCAACAAACTCCTTTACCCGATCCTCCTCCATTCCGTGTCTTTCATCGTCGCCATAAAGCCAACAAAGTTCAAGGGTCGTGGTACCTGACACTATGCAACCAACATCATTGGATTCGCCAGAGGCAGATCCGTCTCATCAGCCAGGTACACTTGCTCCTATTGATATGCCTGTTCTTCTCAATGTTGATTCCCTTGTCATCAATGATCTTGATGTTCCTATTGCTAAGAGAAAGGGTGTTAGATCTTGTACCACTAATCATCCTATTTCTAATTTTGTGTCCTATGATCACATTTCACCTTCATTCCGTGCATTCCTCTCTTTTGTGGATAGTGTCCCCGTTCCTAAGAATGTGGCAGAAGCTTTATGTAAACCTAAATGGACAGATGCAATACAGGAAGAAATTGATGCATTATACAAAAATGGCACTTGGGAGTTGGTGGATCTTCCTGAAGGGAAGGAACTAGTGGGCTGCAAGTGGGTGTTCACAGTGAAATACAAGGCTAATGGAACTGTTGAAAGGTACAAGGCTAGACTGGTAGCAAGAGGTTTTACACAGG